AGGTAGAGATAAAAAAGTTGGTCCTGTGATTCAAGTGAGTCAGTGAAAAATCAAAGAGCATCCCTTGAACCGTTTCATCATAATTATGAAGCTTGAAATATGTTGCAACATGGACTTGATTCAATGTTACAGATCACACTGATAATTTGCAGGCAAATTTTCTTGCAAGACGGTTTAAGGGATAATTGTTAAAATCACATGATAACCGAAATAACTGACCACAGGAAATGTGGGACCAAGAAAAACATCATCTTCGTACGTTCGATGAAATGATCCCTCGCTATAGGGTAAGGCCCACTTTGCTGCGTCCGGTTTGGGAAGCGGCGGGTTTTATTCTTGGTGCCGGTACCGCACTTATGGGTAAAGAGGCAGCTATGGCGTGTACTGAAGCAGTTGAAACTGTAATTGGAGAACATTATAATGAGTAAATATCTTTTACTGTAATTACGGATCTCGAAATCGTGAGTTACGCTGGTACATATTGATTTTTACAATCATTTGATAGTCAACTGCGAGATTTATTGCATATTGAAAATGTGGATGTTGAAGATTTGAAAAAGGTTTAAATTTTACATTGTTCAATATCAATGAATTTGTTAGTGTTTCTCACTTATTGTAATTATGTTCTTGTATGAAAAGATAATTAAAGAGTTCCGTGACGATGAATTGCATCATTTGGACACTGCAGTAGATTATGAAGCACGAAAGGTAACAGCATTGCGTCCTAATTTAATCTAGCTTAAAATATTAATGAAATCCTTTTAGGCACCATTATATAATTTATTGTCAACCATTATACATAGTGGATGCAAGGCTGCAATTTGGACAGCTACAAGAATTTGATCGACCCTTTGGTTAAGGGTAGTTCAATATTTATACGAATTTTAGTTTGTGAATCCATATTTAATGAGTCATTAAATATTAGGCTCGTAAATAGATTTTGCTCTAAATAACGATAATAGTTGTTAAATCTATCGTATTGTAAGCTAGTTTCTGAAAAGACTGAATAGGGACTAGTCTTTTAACCGTGAGACCAGTCCGGACTGGTCTTTACAGATAGTTAAAAATATTTGACTGTGTTAAAAAAAAGTATGTCAGATAATCACTTATTTCGACTACCAACGTCATATGATTTATTTCACCGCCAGACAAGACGATGGTTAGAGATTGGGACCGAGACCAGACCGAAAAACATTGATGGACTGGTATTATTAGAACCGAGATGTGCATAGTAAAACAATTTAGAAAATTAAAAGAGCTGCTTATGATTAATAGAATTCCGGTAGTTATGTTGTAAGTGGGAATAGAATTTAATTGGATTCTGAAATTTTTCTAGGGGTTAGGGTTAGGGTGTATATGGGGTCTTTGCCTTGAAAATGACCTTACGGTACATGATACCGTCCGAATTCACTTAAATTCCATTTCCACTTACAACATTTATACTAGAGATATTGACAATATTCATGGTTGAATTTGATCATTTGGGGTTGAGTTAGTAGAAATCAAGCAAATTTTTTTCAAATTTTTTTAAAACTTTAAACACCAATAACTTAACAAAATCAAATTTATTAAAAAATTTTTTAAATAAATTTAAAGTTTTATTAAATTTGATTAATTTTTTTTTGTTAAGTTATTGTTTAAAGTTTTAAAAAAATTTGTTTAGAAAAAATTTTATTAACTCAATTATGAGCTTATACTGATATAGAATTTTTATTGTAAATTAATTAGTTTTTTTAAACTAAGCTTTAGATTATATTTTAGTTCAATTTTGAACTAAATTTAAATCTAAACTTTTTTTGAATATTCTATAAAATAAGTGGACAAATTTTGCAAACTCTGCAACTTTGCTATTAAAAAATTAATGATTACTAATTATTAGTAAAGCTTATTTTTAAGTTGTTCACCTATTTTATAGAATATCTCTATTTTTAAAATTTTGTTTAGTTTAAGTTTAAAGTAAATTTTTTAAAATAGCATATAGGCAGATTTATGTAATTACTACTAAAAATAGTAAAATATTTGACAGTGAATAACTTTTATTCACTGATCCATTTGGAATGATTTTATCACCAAAATGAACATCTCAGTAAGACAATTCTAGCGAGCCTAAAATTGTTGAAATCTAATCATGGGATCCTGAGATAATTGAAGTTCTTCTTGCTTCAGGTAAAATAGGATGGGTTTAACCCATCCTATTTTACCCAAAGCAAATAATCTTTTAATTATCTTAGGATCTCATGATTAGATTTCGACAATTTTAGGCTCGCTAGAATTGTCTTACTGAAACATTTATTTTAGTGATAAAATTATCCCAAATGGATTAGTGAATAAAAAGTTATTCACTGTCAAATATTTTATTAGTAATTACGCAAATCTACCCATATGGTTTAAATTTAGAAATTAATAAACATGTTTAATTTTTTATATATTAGGTCATACAAATTTAATATATTGGTTTTCATAATGTGAAAGTTTAAACAGATCTGGCTGGCCGACTTTTTTTAAAAAAATTTAAAATATTAAAATTTATAAAATTTTTTTAAAAAATTTTTAAAATATTTACCCAGTTATTAAAATATACAAAAATTTTTTTTTTTACAAATTTTTAAATTTTAACCTGACCAGGTTATGAAAACTACTTATTGCAGTTTGCCTAGCCTTATTTAGCTAGATTAAAATATCAATATATAGAAATTTTAGAGTGTATAGTTGATAAGTTGTTAAACCTGCTACTATTACCTACTTCTGCTCTTGTAAAGTTTATTTAAACTTTAGTATATACTTTATGAACTATTTACTATATTTTTGATTATTTAAAATTTCAATTTAGATAGTTTAAAAAGGCTGTGATTTACTTTTGATTCTT